ACACCCAGCTCTGTATCTGGTAACAAAGCAATGGCATTGCAGGAGCATCTTCTCTTTTAATGCCCTACAAAAATTGTCACAACCAGCAGATATATATAGGCCACAGTTGGTCTACATTTCTTCCTCACTTCCCTTGAGGCAGCTAGGACATTTTTGTCCCTCTTTCCCCAACATTTCCTCTCTCTTCTACTCCCTTTTAATTATTATTATTTATATTATTGGAAGTTGTTCACTTGGAGCAATAATAAAGTTTCATCGAGCAAACGAATGACAGCCCATACAATTTTTGCAACTCTTAGAAAACCCCATTCAGTTGTGTAAGCCAGCACTCTGCTGGGACCTTCTTTGCCAGGTAGTTACCAACATCTCTTAAGGGCCCTGGCTTCAGAGCTCCTTACCAAGAGAACTAGTATCATGGAATCATGGAATCATTAAAGTTGGAAAAGACCTCCAAGATCAAGTCCAACCGTCAACCCATCACCACCGTGCCTACTAAACCATATCGCAAAGTGCCACGTCTACATGTTTTTTGAACACCTCCAGGGATGGTGACTCCACCACCTCTCTGGGCAGCCTGTTCCAATGTTTGACCACTCTTTCGGTAAAGAAGTTTTTCCTGGTATCCAATCTAAACCTCCCCTGGCACAACCTGAGGCCATTTCCTCTCGTCCTATCACTTGTTACTTGGTAGAAGAGACTGACTCCCCCCGGCTCCCCCCTCCTCTCAGGAAGTTGTAGGGAGCGATGAGGGCTCCCCTCAGCCTCCCCTGCTCCAGGCTGAACACCCCCAGCTCCCCCAGCCGCTCCCCAGCAGCCTGGGGCCCCAGACCCCTCCCCAGCTTCATTGGTCTCCTCTGGACACACTCCAGCACGGCTAAAAATAGAAAGTTTGAGAAGCCAGGATGCTGTTGGCCCTCTTGGCCACCTGGGCACCCTGCTGGCTCATATTCAGCCGGCTGTTGACAACACCCCCACATCCTTTTCTGCCGGGCAGCTTTCCAGCCCCTCTGCCCCACGCCTGTAGCGTTACATGGGGTGGTTATGACCCAAGCATAGGGCTCAGCACTGCACCTTGTTGAACCTCATACATCAGTTGAGCCTCGGCCCATCGACCCAGCCCACTGAGATCCCTCTATAGAGCCTTCCTATCCTCCAGCAGATCAACACTCCAAACCCTATTTGGTGTCATCTGCAAACTTACTGAGGGTGTGCTCAATCCCCTCATCCAGATCACTGATAAAGATATTAAACAGAACTGGCCCCAGAACTGAGCCCTGGGCAACATCGCTTGTGACCAGCTGCCAACTGATTTAACTCCATTCACCACAACTCTCTGGGCTCTGCCACAGAATCTTATCCAAAGTCTTATAAAAAAATTTGTATGTAGAAAGTTTTACCATTGATTTTCAAGGTATTTGCTATAGGAACTATGGGAAATACAAAGGAAAGGGACAGAAAGGCAGCTTAGCTCTATCAGAATCTGCTAGCAAAGCTGTCACATTTTTAAGGGCCACAAGTATATACCATTCATCTATAGTCTTTGCATCTTTCATAGTAACTGAGAGTGAGGATTCCTGGTCTGGGGCTTGGTCCTCCATTCACTACTATGCCACCAAAAAGGGAGAAGTTATCGGCTGTAGGGAAGGCCATAAAGTGATTTTAAAGGGATCAAGAATCACTGACCTAGAATATCATGTGCTGGGCTTCCTAAAGCAGCCTGCAGGGATCTTGCGTGTTTTACACAGTAACAAGCACCGTGATGGGGTATGTGTGCAAAGACTGCTCCCTTCGCTTACCCGCAAGGAGCCAGGACGAATGGAGGAGAAGAGGGGAGGAAGCAGAGTTGTCCTTCAGACGGATGCAGCCACAGACGAGCCTGGCACATGTGGGGAGCTGAGCTGTGGCATCCTAACCGATGAGGCAGCCCGTGACTCCACTGCACCCGGAAGGGCAGGAGGTCACCCTTAGGTCTTTGGGGCAACCAAGCCAGCAGCGTAAGACAGTATCTTGCCCTGCACACCCCTTTAATGCTGCTGTCTTATTCCTCTTTGGGAGACAGAGTGGCCTGTGCTCTTTATTCTCAGGGTGCGGTGACACAGTAAGGACGAGACAGTGGTCTATGGATGCGCAGGAGAAGGGAGAGAATACCTCATCACCCTCTCTCCCAAGGCCATCCCGCCCCAGCATCGAGCACCTGGGACACACTACGGAAGAAGTTCAGGGAAAAAAAAAAACAAAATAGTTACAGCTGCCTGGTTTTCCACCCAGCATGTCCTCTCCTGGAAGGCTCGGAGCTCTCCTTTAGGATCTCTGTTATATCCCCTGTGACTGATAAGGCTCTCCACTGTGACAGTCTTTTCCAAAGCATCACACTGCATCGCCCAAAGCTAACCGGCTTTTACTGCTTATCTGCATGCAGAGGATTTCCAGCACTGTGTAACAACTGCTATTCCAAAGAAAATTATCTTCCCAATTTGCAGAAGGAATTTTATTCTCCCCTCCGAAGCGCTGAGAGTCAGCAGAGTTTGTGATAGAGTAATCACCAGTCAAGTAATCGCTGACTCCACAATCACAAAGCTATCTATTAATACGTCTGGTCCTTGAGCATTTATGTAATATAAACAACATAATGATATAACACAGAGATTGTTTCTAGAAAACCATTTCTGCAAATAGGAGCTTATAATGGAATCATTAACGAAGCTTAACAATGGTGAGGATGAAATGCATGAGACAATGTCAGGCAATTCGAAACGTTTCTTTCAGACAATTTCAACATTAACGGCAGAACGTGATTGCATCTAGAAGTCGCTGCTTTTTTTTTTTCCCCAAAGGAAAATCAGCCATCATTTTAACACTGTAACTCAGAAGCCATATTCAAACCCACAAAGCCCTCTCTCAGATATCTACCCCAGCAATCTCCGCTTCGTACAACAGAAAAGAAGCAGATACAAAACTGTTTTTAAAATATGTGTGATTGGTACCTATAACTCCCATCAAAGATTGCAGCTTCAAAAGCATCAGCTTCTCTGGCTACACAAGCAAGAGCTTTGGCCATCTGTTTCTGCTCCTACTATGAATAGCTGATTGCATTTCTGCATGAGATGCGATTCATATGGCTCCTCTGATCCTTCCTATGCACTCCACTGTAAGCATGCTGAAGGAAAGAATAAAATAATACAGAGTGGAAGTGAGAGAAGCAAGCTCTGTCCCTCTCTCCTGAGCTACATCAGACACAAATCCATCCACAAATGGAATATAATGTCCAAATTTACCAGGATTGCATGATAGTCACTCCACAGACTGCAAGTCAACATGAAATCTGTGGTCCTGTGCCATTTTACTCACCTCATGTTTATGCAAGGTACCACAGTGGGAAAATACGAGGGTGTCCCCCCCCAAAATTCAAGTGTAAACTAGTTTCCAGGTACCTCTAAAATAGGTCTTAATATGTTGATGCTTGCCTCAAGTTCTGCGCTTTCAGCCTGCAACATGTTAAAGTTTTCTTATCTGCAGGGAGTAGAAGCTGTGTGATAACCTGGAAATCTGGTTCATGACTTCCGTGACCGTGAGTCCCAGATCCCTGTCAGCCACTGTCAAGCGTGCTGGCTTGGCAGTCTAGAATTAACAAAACCCAATACAATCCAATGCTCCACATAATCAATCTACATATCCCATTATTTTCACTCAGGGATTCCTTGTTTGTCAAGGAAACATGCAGTGTGAATTACAGCAGTGTAAATTATACAGCCTGTAGCTATGCAGTGTAAATGATAACCCAGGCTGCAGGCTCGCAACCTCCACATCTGTTCCTACTTAAGGCAGACACTGTTAAGGCACTAACCAAAGCTCTCGAGCCAGACGAAGTATCCATTCCCTTGCCCTGGTTTTATTGTAAAAGATAATCCTTGACGAAGGAGTGTCTCAGGAGAGATTCCTCATCCCCAGCCAAGAGTCCTGGCATCCGGATTGCTTCCTACCGCCCTCCTTGGGCAGGCACGGTGCACGCTGCCTGCAGCCACCTCTGTCCCCTGGCTCAATAAATATTAATTCAGATGACAGCACGGGGAAGCTGCAAGTTTGCAGAGTCGCTAACCAGACAGCAAACCAGCGCTGGAAGCCGAGTCAAAATTAGAGAGTGCTGAATCACATCCAGTAACAAGTACTCCGCGCTCACAGCAGAAAGGGGCTGATGCTGTCAAAACATACGCTGTTCTCTTGGCTTACAACATCTCTGTCTGCAGGAGTTAGTTACATGTATTTAAGGGACCTGCTGCAAAAGTAAAGGCTATCTACTCTTCTTCACTGAAGTTGCAACCTACATGAAAAGCTGTAGTTGAACTCCAGGTAACCACGGGTTTATCTTAAGCGTCAGCCCCACACGGATGGATATTTGCTTGCAACAAACTGCACTCCGGCCACAGATGTACTGACCTGCTGCTGATAAAACTGGCAAGAGAGAGTAAAACCACTTGGAGGTTTACCTTGTGGTAGGA